CTCAGTCCTCATCCTGGGTCTACAGCCTCAGTCCTGGGTCTACAGCCTCAGTCCTGGGTCTACAGCCTCAGTCCTGGGTCTACAGCCTCAGTCCTGGGTCTACAGCCTCAGTCCTGGGTCTACAGCCTCAGTCCTGGGTCTTCTACAGCCTCAGTCCTGGGTCTACAGCTCAGTCCTGGGTCTCTACAGCCTCAGTCCTGGGTCTACAGCCTCAGTCCTGGTCTACAGCCTCAGTCCTGGGTCTACAGCCTCAGTCCTGGGTCTACAGCCTCAGTCCTGGGTCTACAGCCTCAGTCCTGGGTCTACAGCCTCTTAGTCCTGGATCTACAGCCTCAGTCCTGGGTCTACAGCCTCAGTCCTGGATCTACAGCCTCAGTCCCGGGCTACAGCCTCAGTCCTGGGTCTTCTACAGCCTCAGTCCTGGGTCTACAGTCTCAGTCCTGGATCTACAGCCTCAGTCCCGGGTCTACAGCCTCAGTCCTGGGTCTACAGCCTCAGTCCTGGGTCTTCTACAGCCTCAGTCCTGGATCTACAGCCTCAGTCCTGGATCTACAGCCTCAGTCCCGGGTCTACAGCCTCAGTCCTGGGTCTACAGCCTCAGTCCTGGGTCTTCTACAGCCTCAGTCCTGGATCTACAGCCTCAGTCCTGGGTCTTCTACAGCCTCAGTCCTGGGTCTACAGCCTCAGTCCTGGGTCTACAGCCTCAGTCCTGGGTCTACAGCCTCAGTCCTGGATCTACAGCCTCAGTCCTGGGTCTTCTACAGCCTCAGTCCTGGGTCTACAGTCTCAGTCCTGGGTCTACAGCCTCAGTCCTGGGTCTACAGCCTCAGTCCTGGGTCTACAGCCTCAGTCCTGGGTCTACAGCCTCAGTCCTGGGTCTTCTACAGCCTCAGTCCTGGGTCTACAGTCTCAGTCCTGGGTCTACAGCCTCAGTCCTGGGTCTACAGCCTCAGTCCTGGATCTACAGCCTCAGTCCTGGATCTACAGCCTCAGTCCTGGGTCTACAGCCTCAGTCCTGGGTCTACAGCCTCAGTCCTGGATCTACAGCCTCTTTAGTCCTGGATCTACAGCCTCAGTCCTGGGTCTACAGTCTCAGTCCTGGATCTACAGCCTCAGTCCCGGGTCTACAGCCTCAGTCCTGGGTCTTCTACAGCCTCAGTCCTGGGTCTACAGTCTCAGTCCTGGATCTACAGCCTCAGTCCCGGGTCTACAGCCTCAGTCCTGGGTCTACAGCCTCAGTCCTGGGTCTTCTACAGCCTCAGTCCTGGATCTACAGCCTCAGTCCTGGATCTACAGCCTCAGTCCCGGGTCTACAGCCTCAGTCCTGGGTCTACAGCCTCAGTCCTGGGTCTTCTACAGCCTCAGTCCTGGATCTACAGCCTCAGTCCTGGGTCTTCTACAGCCTCAGTCCTGGGTCTACAGTCTCAGTCCTGGGTCTACAGCCTCAGTCCTGGGTCTACAGCCTCAGTCCTGGGTCTACAGCCTCAGTCCTGGGTCTACAGCCTCAGTCCTGGGTCTTCTACAGCCTCAGTCCTGGGTCTACAGTCTCAGTCCTGGGTCTACAGCCTCAGTCCTGGGTCTGCAGCCTCAGTCCTGGGTCTACAGCCTCAGTCCTGGGTCTTCTACAGCCTCAGTCCTGGGTCTACAGTCTCAGTCCTGGGTCTACAGCCTCAGTCCTGGGTCTACAGCCTCAGTCCTGGATCTACAGCCTCAGTCCTGGATCTACAGCCTCAGTCCTGGGTCTACAGCCTCAGTCCTGGGTCTACAGCCTCAGTCCTGGATCTACAGCCTCTTTAGTCCTGGATCTACAGCCTCAGTCCTGGGTCTACAGTCTCAGTCCTGGATCTACAGCCTCAGTCCCGGGTCTACAGCCTCAGTCCTGGGTCTTCTACAGCCTCAGTCCTGGGTCTACAGTCTCAGTCCTGGATCTACAGCCTCAGTCCCGGGTCTACAGCCTCAGTCCTGGGTCTACAGCCTCAGTCCTGGGTCTTCTACAGCCTCAGTCCTGGGTCTACAGTCTCAGTCCTGGATCTACAGCCTCAGTCCCGGGTCTACAGCCTCAGTCCTGGGTCTACAGCCTCAGTCCTGGGTCTTCTACAGCCTCAGTCCTGGATCTACAGCCTCAGTCCTGGGTCTACAGCCTCAGTCCCGGGTCTACAGCCTCAGCCCTGGGTCTTACAGCCTTCAGTCCTGGTCTACAGCCTCAGTCCTGGATCTACAGCCTCAGTCCTGGGTCTACAGCCTCAGTCCTGGGTCTACAGCCTCAGTCCTGGGTCTTCTACAGCCTCAGTCCTGGATCTACAGCCTCAGTCCTGGGTCTACAGCCTCAGTCCTGGATCTACAGCCTCAGTCCTGGGTCTACAGCCTCAGTCCTGGGTCTACAGTCTCAGTCCTGGGTCTACAGCCTCAGTCCTGGGTCTACAGCCTCAGTCCTGGGTCTACAGCCTCAGTCCTGGGTCTACAGCCTCAGTCCTGGGTCTTCTACAGCCTCAGTCCTGGGTCTACAGTCTCAGTCCTGGGTCTACAGCCTCAGTCCTGGGTCTACAGCCTCAGTCCTGGGTCTTCTACAGCCTCAGGTCCTGGGTCTACAGTCTCAGTCCTGGGTCTACAGCCTCAGTCCTGGGTCTACAGCCTCAGTCCTGGGTCTACAGCCTCAGTCCTGGGTCTTCTACAGCCTCAGTCCTGGATCTACAGCCTCAGTCCTGGGTTTACAGCCTCAGTCCTGGGTCTACAGCCTCAGTCCTGGGTCTAAACTACACTCTGTATATTTATAAAACAAAATAAGCGACGTGACTGAAGTCTTTTTACCACCTTTGGATCTTCTTCTTGGTCCCGTCGTGTTCGTGACAATTCTGACAAGACGAGCTTTGGTGCTGTTTGGAAAAATAAACCCGTCGGTTCCATTGTCCTGGAAACACTTCAGAGGGCTTTGAAGTGGCTCTTGGAAGTCGGTGGGACGGGATCGACAGCCCATGATCCCGTCAGTTCCCTGGGTTCAGTGATCAGAGATAAAACCCAGCGTTTGGTGTTTGAGAACAGGTTTAAGAATGTCACAGAGTTTTAAGAGAATTTCAAATCAGCTCTGTCTGTCAAACTGCCTGCGTGGTGCGTTCAAGGACAGATGTATTTTTGATTACACAAACAACACATTATTCAATCGTTTCCCTGTTTCTCCACAGACTCGACTTTTAGTGCTTTCTCGTTGTCGAAAGAAAACAACTATTTTATATATGTGTCGGTAAATAGTTAGAGGTTTTATACTAGCTTCTTTATTATGCTAAAGTTAGAGGTTTTATATTAGCTTCTTTATTATGCTAAAGCTAGAGATTGTATACTAGCTTCTTTATTATGCTAAAGCTAGATTTTATACTAGCTTCTTTATTATGCTAAAGCTCGAGATTTTATACTAGCTTCTTTATTATGCTAAAGCTAGATTTTATACTAGCTTCTTTATTATGCTAAAGCTAGAGATTTTATACTAGCTTCTTTATTATGCTAAAGCTAGAGATTGTATACTAGCTTCTTTATTATGCTAAAGCTAGATTTTATACTAGCTTCTTTATTATGCTAAAGCTCGAGATTTTATACTAGCTTCTTTATTATGCTAAAGCTAGATTTTATACTAGCTTCTTTATTATGCTAAAGCTAGAGGTTTGAGTGGTTGAAACACTTCACTATGTCCATTCTAACAATAACAATTGTAAACCGCTTCGAGACTCCGATGTGCAGTGAAAAGGCGGTATATAAATAAAGATTACTAACTTACTTACTTCTACAATAAAGGATTTTTTACTTAGTTGAGCAGTGTGTAAACGTGTGGCCAAAAGTGGTACTGCAGCCTCTCCCACTCTCCCTGACTCAGGTTGCCAGATATGCAGACGAATCCAGCTGGGACCATAACAGCTGAATAGACAAGAGTTTTGTCAACAACAAATCTATAACCAACACCTTTTTCACAAAGATAGAAATCCTGGTTTTATTCCTTGTTTTGTCGTTAATGATTTGAGAATCATAACGAGACCTTTTTTAGTTCTGCGCCACATGGTACTTTACCAGTGAGATTAGCTCCACATGGTACTTTACCAGTGAGATTAGCTCCACATGGTACTTTACCAGTGAGATTAGCTCCACATGGTACTTTACCAGTGAGATTAGCTCCACATGGTACTTTACCAGTGAGATTAGCTCCACATGGTACTTTACCAGTGAGATTAGCTCCACATGGTACTTTACCAGTGAGATTAGCTCCATGTGGTGAGTTCTGGCGCCTGGATCACAGACTTTCTGATTGGTGAAACGGTGGAGGGCGGGACATCGAAATGAAAACAATAACAAGATTTAGAGGCTGGATTCTGAACTACGGACTATCTACGCTCGGACCATCTATGCTCGGACCATCTACGCTCGGACCATCTACGCTCAGACATTTGGACGTGAAACTAGCGGTAATCTTTCAGTTATATATTTTGTTAGCAGTGTCTTTTTTTGTACCATTTCATCAGTGATTGTTGTACAGCTTACAGGAAGTTGGCCTAATGCTAATGTTAGCATAGGTAATAAATCACAAATAAAACTAGATGTCTCTGTGGGAGGAGAGCGTAGGGGAAATGAGAAGCCTGTGAGCGAGTTGGGGGCGGGGCTAAACATTCTAACCTGCAGAAATAGGTTTAGCTCCTTTAAGTATTTTAATCAGACAAACTCATGTCTTCTGTCTGTTCTGCGGCTGCATCACTGGAGCTGTGTTTATAAAAACATATTTAAATCAGAAGAACTTAATAAGACTCATGTGCAGAGAGTGAAGAAAGACACGACCAGAGGTTAAATGTACAAAGTTGCACAGATCTTTATCAATATTTGAAAATATTCAACAGTGAAAGTTAAATCAAACAGTAAGAATAACAATAATTAATATCAGCATTAACTAGACTGAAAACACCTGAGGGAAGCAAATCATAGAGAACTCAGAAAAAAATGTCCAGAGAATTTAAGAAGTAACAAAATCACAAAATGGAGACAAGCTCAGACTGGGTCAGTATGTACAGCCACACGCACAGGCTCAGGGTGAAGCGGAAGAAAGACATGGAAAAGCCATCTGCAGCTGCTCTCGTCCTGGTCCCTCCCTCACTCTTGATCTGGAAACGTTCAGAGCTCTGGTGGAGATGACCGTAACGAGCCCTCGGTGGAGATGACCGTAACGAGCCCTCGGTGGAGATGACCGTAACGAGTCCTCGGTGGAGATGACCGTAACGAGTCCTCGGTGGAGATGACCGTAACGAGTCCTCGGTGGAGATGACCGTAACGAGTCCTCGGTGGAGATGAACGTAACGAGCCCTCGGTGGAGATGACCGTAACGAGTCCTCGGTGGAGATGACCGTAACGAGTCCTCGGTGGAGATGACCGTAACGAGTCCTCGGTGGAGACGACCGTAACGAGCCCTCGGTGGAGATGACCGTAACGAGCCCTCGGTGGAGATGACCGTAACGAGTCCTCGGTGGAGACGACCGTAACGAGCCCTCGGTGGAGATGAACGTAACGAGCCCTCGGTGGAGATGACCGTAACGAGCCCTCGGTGGAGATGACCGTAACGAGCCCTCGGTGGAGATGAACGTAACGAGCCCTCGGTGGAGATGACCGTAACAAGCCCTCGGTGGAGATGAACGTAACGAGCCCTCGGTGGAGATGACCGTAACAAGCCCTCGGTGGAAATGACCATAACGAGCCCTCGGTGGAGATGACCGTAACGAGCCCTCGGTGGAGGTGAACGTAACGAGCCCTCGGTGGAGGTGAACGTAACGAGCCCTCGGTGGAGGTGAACGTAACGAGCCCTCGGTGGAGGTGAACGTAACGAGCCCTCGGTGGAGGTGAACGTAACGAGCCCTCGGTGGAGGTGAACGTAACGAGCCCTCGGTGGAGGTGAACGTAACGAGCCCTTGGTGGAGGTGAACGTAACGAGCCCTCGGTGGAGGTGAACGTAACGAGCCCTCGGTGGAGATGAACGTAACGAGCCCTTGGTGGAGGTGAACGTAACGAGCCCTCGGTGGAGGTGAACGTAACGAGCCCTCGGTGGAGATGAACGTAACGAGCCCTCGGTGGAGATGAACGTAACGAGCCCTCGGTGGAGATGACCGTAACGAGCCCTCGGTGGAGATGACCGTTTAAACTTGACATCAGCTTTAGTTTGATCCAGATTCACA